GGAGGAGGAGAAGGAGGAGGAGAGAGGGGACCGAGAGATCGCCCCATACATGCCGCATTGGAATGGGATCGCTCACGCTGTCCCGCTATCACTTTTTGAGGGGAGCTCTTGTTCGCGACCCTGTCTGAGAGCCCCTCCAGGGGCTGCATTCGCAATTTTATTGGGCTGTTTTGGGCCCCGCTGGGCCCTTCTTCTGTAATCAAGTTCGGACTCACTCGGGGCCATGTGTGTGCGACTTTGAGCTATGAGAAACAAAAGTCCAAGTGGGAACGGGCTCTAGAAACTGTGGATTCCCTGGACCTGGTTTCCCATCGCGGAGCCATTTTGTCTCAACGCTCCTGCGTTGGGTACTCGTTTTGAATAGAGCACGGCTCGCGCGTCTCCTTCCCGCCTCCCTCCTCCTCTCATCTTCCCTACCTGTCTCTTACCTCGCTCCTTCATGCGTGCCAGCATGCCTCCTACCTGATCATCCTTGCGGGGCTGCGATCTGCGAAGCTGTCGCCACTTTCAAGGGCTGCTGGGGGTCCAGCGGAGTGACGTGCCACGCAGACCAAAACCCGACCTCGCCATTCCTGTGGGTTGCGATCTGCGAAACTGATAACTGCTGGGTTCTATTTGTGGGACAGCCAGCACATGATTTTACGAATTGTTTTTTTGGTCTGCACATTTTTTCTCATACCTATGCGACCACCCTTCGGGTGATAAGGAGGTTGAGGGGGGAAGAAAGGGGGGGAACCAACATCAGACTCAATCGATCTCACTATCGGTCTCACTCAACGGGACACCACGGGACACTTGTCGATCTCACGATCGATCTCACTATCGATCTCACTCCACGGGACACCACGGGACACCACGGGCCACCACGGGACACCACGGGACACCGCGGGACACCTCTCGATCTCACTACCGGTCTCACTATCAATCTCACTATCGATCTCACTTAATTCTCCTTTCTGAAAAGAGAATAGACTCTACCCCCCCCTCCCGGCGTTATCGCCCCCCTTTCGGAAATGTAAATCACACATGATTATGACCACATGTCCATCCTAAATATGAATTTACACTATCCCAGGGGGGCCCGGTTCCCCCCCCTGAGGTCCCCTTGAAAAAGCAACATGCGGTGAAATGTTTTGTTATAACATGGCATTTTTTCGCGAATCCCGTGCTACAAATGGGACGAAGTGCGCACCCGCGCGTCGTCGCGCGCGCATGCCAAAGTCCTTCAAACACCTTCGGTGCCGCAAGGATTTCGCAATCGAATTTCCAAACAACACTACAAAAACACAAGGTTTCGTAACACAGATTTGCTAAAAAAGCTTCCGCGCGAGCTGTTGCGACATCTTAAGAAAACCATTGGGTTTTCAATATTTTCACAACATGCTACCAAACGGGCGTCGCGCGCGCATGTCGAAATCTGTCGAACGCCTTTGCGCGTGTGCCGTCGCGAGAATCCTCTGCAAAAGATAAGACGAAGTGCAAACGCGCGCGTCGTAGCGCGCGTACGCCGAAATCCTTCAAAACCCATGAGTTTCGGAAGGATTTCAAAATCGCGCGTCCAAAAAACTGACACAATGACAAGGTTTCGCAACACGGATTTTCAACAAAAGCGTGCGCGCGCGCTCTTGCGGCGTCGTCGTCGTCGTCGTCGTCGTCGCCGTCCTCCTTCCTCCCGCGTCGTCGTCATCGTCGTCGCCTACGTCGTCCTGTGTCTTTCCTCGTGTTCGTCGTCGTCGTCGTCCTCTTTGGCGTCGTGGTCGTTTCCGTCGTCGTTGTCGCCGTGGTCGTCCTTCCTCCTCCTCCCTCTTCCGTCGTCGTCGTGTCGTCGTCGTCGTCCGTCGTCGGCGTCTCGTCGTCGTCCCCTCTATTTCGTCGCCGTCGTCGTCGCCGTCGTCATCGTCGTCGTCGTCGTCGTCGTCGTCTTCCCTCCTCCCTCGTCGTTGTCGTCGTCGGCGTCGCCGTCCTTCCTCCTTCTTCGTCGTTCGCGGCGTCGCCGTCCTCCCTCCTCCCTCGTCGTTGTCGTCGTTGTCGCCGTCGTCGTCCTCCCTCCTCCCTCGTCGTCGTCTTCGTTGGCGACGTCGTCGTCGTCTTCGTCGTCGTCGTCGGCGTCGGCGTCGTCGTCTTCGTCGTCGACGTCGGCGTCGTCGTCGTCGCCGCCGTCGTCGTCGTCGGCCGTCTTGCTTCTCCGGCCTTCTTGGGGCGCTCTTGAGACGCCCCCGAGGGCTCCAAGACGACCCCTGAGCGATATCAGTGCTCGGTCCCGCATGGGTTTTGCAAACCGAGTTGCAGAGTGGAGTTGACAACTTCAAGTTCGGCAAGTGATTAATTCTCGTTTCTAAAAAGAGAATAGACTCTACCCCCCCTGGCGTTATCGGTCCCCTTTTCGGGTCTGTAAATCACACACGATTCTGACCACATGTCCATCCTGAATCTGAATTTAAAAAGTCCCCGCAGGGCCGGGCTCCCGCCTCTGAGATTTTTTCTTGTTCAGAAAAACCCT